CTTTTGAAGTTTGAATTTTGTAATTTCAAGCCAGAATCAAATTCAGTGATCTTAAAAACTCTCAAGAACAAAATAAGTTTTTTTTGTTGGAGAGAAATCCGGTCCTCAAAAGGTAAATGCAACCAGACTTTTATTCCACAGTGTATATTCGTATCGTATTCCTACCCGTAGTTCGACTATACTGAATAGACTATACTATGCAGCGAGACAAACTCATAACGATGGCATCTAAATCCTCTATCCTCGTTACGTCCCGCTCGTAAATCCACCAATCACATTCAATTGCATCAAGACTGTTGCGTCACCACAACGTCTACTGAACACGGCCTTTGTTCTCGTTATCAGGGTCCGTCGCCGTCCTCATCCTTAAAGGCCTCTGCCGCCGAGCGAATTACGAAGCTCATCACTCGCATTCTCGACCAGCGAGAAAACATTCTTTCCCTCTTTCATTCTCTCTCTCTCTTCGAATTTCAGCGATCGTCACCCTCCCACACGTCGACTTCCTGTTAGTAAACGTAGTCGCCTCTCAAGTGCTAACAACAGCACAGCACTTGTCATTGTCCCTCTTGACCCTCCAGTTGTCTATCCCGCCGTGTTCCTTTCCCAAGTAGAACACACAAGTCATAATAATATCATAACGACGTCATCGTGACCTTATTTGTCACTTATAAGTTCATTTTGAAGTATCAAATGACATTGTAATGACGTCCTATGATATATTGTCATGACGTAAGAAGACTAGGTGTGACATGACGCATAATGACAGCTGAATATAATTAGGACAAATTTCTAGTAGCGACTTTACATTGGCTTGTACAATTTAGAGCCAATTTCTGATTGCTCATAAATGTCGTCATTATCTGGAACGACTGCACCTTCTTTTTTTTTACATTAATTCACCCGATCTTCTTACATCACGATCATTATGATTATAATTGGTTGCTTTCCAGCAAGAGATACAAATGACACAGTGTAACACAATAACATTATTACATTCTTGCTATTCGCCAATATTTAACAAAGTTGACAGGATCATTGTGTCGCTTACTGGAAGCACCATAATGACGACTGTGTTTTACCTGGGTTCTTCCGCGCTACCGACTTTATACGCGGAGATCGCAGATGCAGACGTAGAAAAATAACGATCGCGCAATCCGTACTGAATACACACACACGCATACATATATGTATATATATATATATATCTTTTTCTCTTATATTTTTGTTTTATCTCGCCGCCTACTTAAGCTTACGCCGCTGCGTGACTGCGATAACGCTCTCGTTAATTCGTTATATACGACGACGAATGTTCGCTCGTGCGTGCGTGCGTGCGTGCGTGCGAGGCGAGACGCGCTCGCGTAGAATTGTCTTCCGATCGACATTCTAGAGAAAATAATAGCCAGAATCCGAAGAAAAATGCAGCGTTCGAGGGTAAATGCTTAGAGCAGCAATTTTATTCGAGCGACTAATAAAATGTCAAAGGAAGAAAGACGCGCGGACGCTCTGCACGTCTCATCCTGCACGTACATACAACGTTTGTCTCTTTCTCTCCTATATACACGTGTATATATAATTGGTATCTCTTACGAACATGGCCGTTGCAAAGTCAGCAGTGTCGTCATCGTCGTCACGCGTTGTAATAAAACTCTGATGCTCCGTGTATAAATCGTTTTAACACACGTTCAAAATTTGCTTTAGTGATCTGTAGGTGTAGGTTGCGCGAAGGCGAAATGATTGGTACTTGCTTCGTGGCGGAATCGCGACGACGACTGCGGGCTAACGATCACGATAGAAAGAATACATCATAAATTAGCACGAGCATGTCTTGACGAAACTGAAAGACTATATCTGTCCCTCGATCCCTTCCCCAAGCAGAACAACAGTTCATAATAACGTCATTTTGACGTTAAAATGAATTTTGACTAAATAAAAAGTAATTTTAATAATCATTTTGATGTTATAATAATTTCATATTCTGGTTGGGTCAACGAGGGAATTAAATTTTCAGACAGATGTCGTATAAAGGAAATGTCCCCAAATCGGAATATATACATAGATAGAGAGGTTAAAATTGAAATTTAGATTAAATGTTTGACTAGAAATTGAGATTGAGAATAAATCCAATTAAAGTAAAGTCAAAGTAAAGTTTCTTTATGTCTAAACTTACTTTAACTTTTAAATCTCATTTATAAAGGTTGAAAATTGAATTGTTCCTTTTCATGATTGGTTCAGTTTTCACTCTTAGGGTAAGATTCAACTTCAAAGAATTTAGAAGGTAATATTTGGGTTTCTTTCTTTCGATTTTGATTAAATTCAGCCTCAATCTCTAGTCTGACATGGGCACGAATTTAAAGAAATAAACCACTGAACGTGTATTCTTTCCACTGTAGTAACTGTCGATTGAAAAAAAACGATCACTGAGAAGCGGTAAGTCGACGTAGATCTGTACGCGATTCCGCGCGAAGTCTTGTGCGTAAACCCGTCTAATTCTGCGTTTATTGACATCTGCCGCGGCGGGAACGCCGACGGCGTTAAAAATACCTCGGTACCGAGAAGCAAGAAGCGAAGGTTACGTTTTGCTTTCACGACGGGGAACAAAGCGAACAATTTCGACGATGCGCGCGATAACGTCCCTCGGGATCGTCGAGATTGGTTTTGTTTAACGCTGCAGTATCGCACGGGGAAACCGAAACTGCTTAAATTGCTGTTATTCAAAGGCACAATGTAGGATTTTTTTCTTTGTCTGATTAGCAAAAAATACTGTGCGATCCAACGATACTTTTTCCTCGTAGAAGGGCTCTTTCTACGCAGAAGCCTTCTTCTCCAATAACACTTTTCCTGCGTTGCTCCAGGCTTACAAAGATACACGACTTCAGAAACTAGAAGTGAAAAACCTTCGGTACTGAAACAGCAATATATTTCGGAGCGAATTATTTTACATAACATTAAGTATCTCTTTATAATTAAAAAAGTCGTCAGCCGAATCGAAATTCGCGAACAAAATTCGCGCAAGCTCCGTACTGTGCACCATATACACAATATATATAATAATTACAATAATAATAATATAATTACAACAACTCTATTTAAAGTATCCTCGGTATGTCGCGGGATTTGCGATGCGAGACGGGTTTACGCGCGCGGCGATCGATTGCGATTATTCGAATAACGATACACTAGAATGTATTAATTCATTTATTCCGAAGCGCGTTTATACTACATCGTGTAAGACTGCGTGTAAGTTTTGCAAATGTGTAAATATCTAGCTGATGATGAATCTGCGGAATCGCGCCCCCTCCCCCCCCCTCTCCGTCCCTTTCAGCCATTCATCAAGAAAATTGAAGGACGTCGCCTTTCTCTCTTCTTATCTTTTTATTGATTATTACTTTTTAAAGCCAATACGCACGTTCTTGATATTTAATTGCGATTGGATCGCAATGCGGAAGGGTCGAAAGGGAAGTATAGGAAGGGCGGCGAAAGAGCGGAGGCACAGACAGGCGAGTATTAGATAGAGATTAAATCCGCGGTGAGAGAGAAGAATCAAAGAGAAGAAAAAGAGGAACGACGAGATATAACGAATCTCCTCCACCAGGATGGAAAAAATTTCGCACATATGACAATACGTGATCGTAAAAAAAAAAAAAAAACCAGAACACGGCAGAGAAACGCGAGGACTCGTCGCCGAAACGTGAGTCGATGGATGTTTTCCAGCGAGAGACGCATAGACATAATGTAACATAATGAATCATTACATCCTTGTTGTTTGCCATGTTAAACAAAGATGAAGTAATCCCTGTGTTAAGGGCGGAGTACAGACCTTTACACAACGTATAATGCATAATGAGCTTTCTACAATAAGCCGTTACTTAAACTTTAAGTCTTAAACCGTAACAAATTAACCAATCGCAGTTGAATGTGAGAAGAACAATCAACTGCAATTGGTAAATTTTTTGCGGCTTAAGATCTACAGCTTAGATAATTATCGGCTTATTGTAGAAGGGGTCCATGAAAAATCAAACAATCAGAGTTTTCCATTTCATGGAAAGGGAGGAAATAAAGGACTTCCGTTGTGATTAATTTTCTTATGCATTATGCGTTATGCAAGACTCTAAGCTCTCGTCTATTGTGTCGCTATAGCTGGAAAGCACAAGATATTAACCCCGGGATATGTTTCGCGCGGGATTGGGGGAATTATTTTTGAAAGGGTGTATTTCACAAGGGCGAACACTCGGGGAGTCACATTCGCGTCGCGTGAAGTGGCCAGTACTTGCGTACCTGATGCACGCGGGCCCTTCCGACGAGAAGAAACAGGGGGGGCTGGAAAGGGCGGGAGAGAGGGTTGTGGAATCAAAGCGGCGCGATCAAGCGTTCGCGCACCGTTCCGCGAGAGATGTAAGCTGAGCGAATGTAGTTAGCTACTACCCGCGCGTACATTTTATTTCACGAGAGAATGAGTCCTCTTTCACTTGCAAACTTTTCTTCGCTCGTCTTTTCTTTTCGCTTCTTCGACATTAATCGAAAGTAATCATCGCACGTCAGTATCATCATATCATCATCATCATATCATCATCATCATCATCATCATCATCATCATCATCATCATCATCATCATCATCATCATCATCATCATCATCATCATCATCATCATCATCATCATCATCATCATCATCATAATCATCATCATTATTATCATCGTTATCGTCATTGTCACCATCGTCCTTTCGCGCTGTGTTCCCTTCATTTCTGCTAGCCTACGATTACATATCATTTTTTCAAAGCGAATGTCGCCGCGACGATGCTCGACAACAGTAAGGCGTTCAAGGCGTCGCGAGGATGGATAGGCTGGGTACTGCTGTAAAACGGTGTAAAAAATCCAAACGGCGGATATTGAGATTCGCGAGATTGAGCTAACGTGATTACAAGATGGTGTAGACAAGAGGTCGCGCTGCCTAATCCGCTCGCGCGCCGCCTCGACGCACGGGTCGCCGTCAACGCTCTTCAATGGTGTTCGAACGACGAGGAACAAAGGCGAAAAGATCTCACGAGATCTCGGGTATTCCCGCGTCACGACGTTACACCCTCACAAGTCTCGGTGTGTGGGGAAGTTGGCTTGGAGAGGACGTCGCGACGCTTCGACCTCCTCGTTGCTCCTCTTCGTCTTCTCGGCTTCTCCTCTTCTTCTTGCTCGCCCTCCTCCCGTTGATCCGGACGGCACGACAAAAATAAAATCCGATATTCGAAAGCCGCAATATCCGGCGACGGTCAATCGACAAGAAGTGGCACACTCCCGATATTCTGAAACCGATATATTATGGATCTCGTCGCAGTCTCCTTGTGCACGGACGCTTGTCTTTAACTAGCGACGTATCTCTCTCTCTCTCTTTCTCTCGCTTTCTTTCTCTTCTTCCTCTCTCCCAACGGTCATAATTTGTTTAAAGTTGATTTAAAGGCAACTCGTTGGAGGAATGTTATTTTATACAACTATAAGGCTGTCGATGGAGGAGCACACGCGAGGTGCCCGCCCGGCCACTACTCCGCGCGAGCAGTGCGAGCGGCTAATAATGATTGATAATCGTCGTCGACGATGCTGCTGCTGCTGCTACTGCTGCTCTTGCTCCTGCTGCGGCTGCTGCGGAGGAGCGATTTGCGGCGCACGGACGGCGGCGGTGGCGGCGATAGCGACGACGGTAGCTGCAACGGCGGCGGCGGCGACGACGACGATGGCGATCAGACGTCCGCGGTTTTCGAAGTGACGCTCGGCGATCGGCTGTGTATGACAACGCGGTGACCGTTCTTCGTGATATAGCCGTCGCTCTCGACGAGCACCTTGGTCTGCCGGACGCACAGATCCGTATCCGGGTCGTCGCTCTCCTCGTTCGGTCCGCCAAGACGCTGCTGCTTGTGCTTCCGCCAGGCATTCTGTATAAGACGGGCACAGTATTCCTCGCGTTGTCGCCACAAAGTGGACGAGACCGGGTCGTAACCGGCCTCGTCGGGCCGAGCCTGGACCTCGCCCAGATCGCCCGTCTCTTCAATCGGATTGCCCTTCCGTGCGAAAAAGTCCTTGGTGAGGGCATCGAGGATATCCACGCAAAACATAAGGTCTCCCTTACATATGGGGATATCCATCGACACGATCTTATATTTGTTGGGCTTATGTATCTGCAACGGGGGCTCCAATACATCTAAGAAGTCCGACAGCTGGTCGTATCTGATGTATTGCGTGCCATCCGGATCAAACTGCTGCCAAATCTCGTAGTACATGTCGTAGTCGTCGTCCGTCAGACCTTCCTGCACGTCCTCGGTGGCCTGCGAGTAATTCTCGAGGATCACGGCGATGTACATGTTGATGACGATCAAGAAGCTGATCACGAGATACGAGAGCAGGTAAGCGATCCCGATCGTCGAGGATCCGCAGTTGCCCGGGTAGCCGATCTCGTTGTTCGGCTCCTGGCAGTCCTCCTCGTTTATTATACCGTCGAGAACACTGTCCCAACCAGCCGAGGTTGACATCTGTGCCACAATACACATTATTACACATTATTGTAATTATATCATACATTACACGATATTACATAATTATAATTGATGATGGAATTCTTAATAGATAATTTAAAACGACAAATCCTTGCTTTTAATATTAACGTTTTAATATCAACTTAACAAAAACTTTTTTCCATTCACTTGTAAGATTTTAAGTTAATGTTGGGAGATAGATTTTATGATATGATATTAAAATGATAAATGTATAAAATTTTTATATAAAAGCTCAAATTGATCGATATATAACTTAGTTACCTGAAATAGCAGTATCATCGACTGCCCGAAAGTCTTGAAATTGTACACGTCGTCCAGTCCGCTCTTGTCTTTGACGTGCATGAAGAAAGACATTCCGAATATTGCGAAGATAAACATCACCAAAAACAGCAGTAGGCAAATGTTGAAGAGGGCTGGCAACGACATCGCCAGGGCGAAGAGAAGGGTTCGGATACCCTTGGCACCTTTTACGAGTCGAAGCACACGACCGACTTTTGCCACTCTCACTACACGAAGCAAAGTTGGCGACACGAAATATTTCTCAATAATGTCGCTGAGCACCAGACCTGTCGGAATGAAAATTTATATTTCAGCAACTCTGAGATTCTTCAAGCTCAAATTAACATAAAGGACTAAGCGAGGGTGCGGTGACGTCACTTATGGCACATAAATGATATACTTAATTCATTCATAATTTATGAAAGTATCATGCATCATCGCGCGGACTAATTGGTTTGGGTTGGATCATGCGGTTGGATAATCTAATTATATAACTAGTAATTATGTAGTTAGTAAAAAGAGGGTGCGATTCAGAAAGTCATAGGACTTCAAGTGTACTTTCCTATATAAATCATTAGTATTTTTCTAACAGACTGTTACGTCATACAAAAAAATAATATCTAAAAATCGTATTTTTCTTTTCAACAGAAAATAAATAAATTCTCGCGAAACACGAGCATATTTGATAACACTCTGTTTTTCACTTCTAGGAAATATGTGCGGTAGAGATTGTATCGAAAATAAAAGATTATTAAAAAATTCATGCGTGTTCTAAGGACTTAGAGACTAGATTTTTTTAAACTTCGACTAGAAATCTTAAATCATAGAAAGCGTATATGAAAATTAATTGAAATATAGAAGCTCTCTCTATCGTAATTTAATTAAATTTATGCGGTGCTTTATAAAAGATAAATTTTGAATATGTTCAAAATTTCTCACTACTGTCATTCGAAAATAGAAATATTCTATAAAATCTATATATTCTGGTAATAAGCGAAATCCTAAAAAGTTTCTATTTTATACAGACCCGATCTTACCAGAAAACTTCAATTAATGATTGTTGCAACATCAATATGTCGAATGGCTCGTGGAAAGCGTTACGTTGTGATAATTATTTTCAATTTAAAGTTTTTCAATTAATCATAATTTATAAATAATAATTAATTTATCATTAACTCTGAATAACTACTTTGTCCTACTTTTATCGAGATTTTCATTTTAAACATGATACAAAGTAACGCTGAAAGCACGGCAATTCGACTCTGCACACCAACAACATTTGGATAGGGCACGAATAAGGTATCGGAACAGGATTGGCACGGTGGGAAATAAATTCAACATCAATGTAAGGCTACGTAACGTAATGATATCCATCAGTCGTTGAGACACGAGCGAAACGTTAGGCCTGTCCGCTTGATTGAGAAAAAAAAATAGTCTAAAAAGTGCGTGAAAAATATAGCAGAGAAAACTATAACAGCGTGGCATGCCGATTGTCCTCGTTCGTGAGATAGAATACTAGTCTAAGAGTATACTATAGAGGCGAATATAATATCATTCTTCTGAATCGAGTAGCAAGAAGAAAAGCTAACAGGCCCGGCCCTTTTTCATATTTCACTTTTGTTTCACTCGGGTCATACGACTGGAGCAACCATTACATTACATTACCTAATATTGACAATATAACAACAACAAAATCAAAGAGATTCCATGGCTCCTTGAAATAGTGGTAGCGAAGAGCGAAGATCTTCATGAGACACTCGCTGGTGAATATCACAATGAATATCATATTGAGATAGTCCAGAACTTTGCCGAAGGTTTCGCTCTGCTGATAATGGTCCATCGTCATCGTGAGCATGTTCAGCCCGATGAACAGCATGATTATCATATCGAACTTTTTGTCCGTCACTATTTCAAACACTATTGCCTGCGGCCGCCACTGTAAACAGTAAACAAATATTACGTCGATTTATGCATGTCTTCATTTTTTCTTATTATATGTTTAAGTATTGAACTAAACTGTCATACAAATTATACGTCGCTACAATTGTAGGATATGGTTTTTTTAACACCAAAATTTTGCAGTTTTGCCTATATTTCGAGATTTAAACATTTAGAGTAAAGCAGTATATAACAATATATGGAAAGTACAATTTTATTAAAGTAACTAAAAATGCGTATAGCTAGATACACAGGTTTGGCAAAAGTTTTGTCGAAATCTTAAAATAATTATGTGGGATACACAATGTATAAATGGTGTGATATTCAACGCAGAGGGCCTGAATGACCTCACTCTGCAATAGAGACCCTGAAGAAGCTCACTTTGCAGATAAAGTGACAGAGGCTCTGTAGGAGCCCACTCTGCAGCAAAGGCCCTTGGTGGAGCTCACTTTGCGAATACTGAATTTGACACACGTTAGAAACCCTAAAAGAGCTCATCCTATCCGTAAGAGGAGATTACACGGAGAAAATTTTATATTTAAAATTACTATAATGTGGTAGAAGCTGCAGCGGACCGTGTAATTATAAGTTTAAATGCTATAACCATTTTTTTGAAAACAATAATATAAAGTAATTTTTACGCTTTTTCATAGTAAAAATTTGTTATTACAAAATTACACCTTGTTGAATAAAAGTTAGTATTGTAAAGATAAAGAATATATAAATAACCTAGCAAATTTTTTTTTTTTAAGTCTTAAGCTAAAAAAAGAAATTGATTCCCCATAATCGATTATTCTTCTCACATTCAATTATGATTAATTAATTTCTTACAATTTAGAACTTACAACTTAAAGCTTGTTTTATAATTAAGTCGCAAGTCGTAAAAAATTGACCAACTACAGTTAAATAAAAAAAAAAAATTAACTATGATTGTAGAACAGATTTAAAAGTAATAGTCCGGGAGATGATGACACTAAAATGGTCTTGATTTGTTTCATAATTCATTATTTATTAAATAAAGATGAAGAAAACGTAAGTACGGCAAAACTCCCGCAGTTTTAAAATTTACCACTTTAGTTTAACGGCCCCTTCGATCCACAGAAACGCACCTACCGATTGGTTTTTTTGATGTAAACTATACCACTAGAAACATATGCCAGCAGGTAACATATTAGGCGAAAAAAGCAACAAATTTTTTAATCACACATTATCAATTTTAAAACCGCGGGAGGTTTGCCATACTCGCGTTTCCCTCATGAATTATAACGATTTCAAGCGGTAACAAATCAAGATCATTTTAGTGTCATCGTCTCCCGGACTATAACAGCTTATATTGTAGGAAACCATTAGACTTTCAAACATTCTCGCTGTACGAAATAAATCGTCAAGCGATGGCTAACAAGTTATAAGACGAAGCGAGAAATAATGTATAACGATCTATTCGTTGAAACTAAATAATATATAATATGGAACGCAAGGAATAAAATATTCGATGTATGTATCGCGTTTCATATATTCTTTCCAATATTAAAATTTGCAATCGACGGATCGGTTGGCGACCTTCGAATCTGTTTACATGCCGCGGCACGTGGTGTAACGGCGCGAATGTAAGGTCACTACCCTATCACGCTTCCATTCCATTCGCGCGCCGACATTCGGGCGGACTGGCCAGCTGTGGCGCGTCGCCCACGTCGTGTTATCTCTCGAAACGCGATCGCAGTTGGTATGACAAAGCTTCAAACGCAATTACTTTGTACCAATACTTAACAGACATCAACCGTGCGTCGTTTAACTTTCGATTAACGATTCCTATACGCGTGTCGCGGTCGACGCGGCTTCGTATTCGTGTATTGAAGCAGCCTCGCACGATATCTGTTTATTTGGAGCAATTATCGAAGCGAAAGTAGACAGGAATCATAAATTATCGTCGTTCAGCAGTGGTACCTGTGGGCGCGACAGTTATTTCTACAACGATATTTTAGTCGCGTGCAATCCGCGTTGAATTTTACATCGCGCTTTGAATATATAATTTAAAGTCTCCGCGGAGCGAAAGCCTGAAGTGATATATACGAATCGGAACGAATAAGTCGAGCAATGAAAAGCCATAAATATGATTATTTGTTAAATTTCGTGGAACTGCATTCGGAATGTATCGCGCGTGAATTCTCGAATTTCATTTGTTGTATATTTTTGAAACGGTCCACCGCGTTTGGTATTCAATGGAAGTTGCCAACTTCACTTTCTAATTTGTCGGTTATTCACAAATGGCCGCGGGTATAGAACGGACCGATTTCGAGTCAAGCGGTGATATACAACGCGTTTAAATCAGTAACTATACCTCTGATTAATCTTGCATCTGATATTTATTAACCACATATTAGTAAGTTCGTCGTTTGTATTTTGAGTGAAACGTTACGACGCGTATTTCGCGAGGTTTCTTCGATCGAAATTGGATCACCCCAACGATCGACAAAGCAATAATCATATTTCCCGACAATGCATCTCGCGGATATTCTTTGATTTCAAATCTCACAGTTTATTGACTTATTAATATGTTATAAATCTTACAATATTATAAGCGGCGTAATTGTTCTGAAAAACAATTATGCGCTTATCACAGCCTGTTATTCACGACGCGGAAGATGTACGAAAGTGAAACTAGGAGCAGTAGGTGCAGCATCGCCGCGGCTAGAAGTGACGCCTGAAGTTGGCCGCGCGATCTTCGAATTTACTTTGCCGTGCGGGGAGTCGTCGTTATGTTAATCCGCGCGCCGGCTGTGCTGAACGTTATTCTCGCTGTTTACAAGTACAAGTTGCGCACGATTAGCGTCGGCAGTGCCGTGAAAAGTATCGCGTATTGTCGATTGATGTGTACTTATACGATTGTAATAAAATTCTCGCGAGTGTGTGCCGAAAGAAACATTTGATAGAATTCGAAAGAAGAAGCAAGATTGAAGAGGACGGATCGAGCATCGGCATGGCAGAGCAATCCTGAAGTGAGAGTAATGTAACATTTACAATATATATTATTTATTATTTTTGCAAAATTAATCGGTTGTGTGATTAATTTCAAATAATTTCGACCGTGAGCTATTTACAATACAATAGAAATATTGTACTCGTATAATATTATATAATGCAAATACATATGAAAATATTTAGCATTTGTTTGAATGATTTGTGAAGAGTTACGAATTTAATTTCTGTTAAATATTTTATTAAATTTTTTTTTTTGAAAAATTTGTATTAAAAAAAATATTTTGGGGATTAATGTTTTTCTTAAATATTTGGTCGATGAAATTTAATGTGCAAAATTTATTATTTTTTGAAATATTAATTATTTTGTGCGTTTTATAATTTGGATATATTTATGTTTTATAGATTAACACTTCTGTATTAACTATTTTCTTAATCATGAGATAATGAATTTGTGAAAATTATATTAGAGAATTATTTACATATTTGTGCAAAATGAAAAATATTTCGAAAAAGAGAGAGAGAGCCAAAGAAGTAAATATCTTTTCTTAATTTTCTCTCATAGTAAATTTTTTAATTAATAATAATAAATTTTATATATTTTTTTATGATGACACTGTATGACTTACATATTATTATAAAATTATTTTCTATTACATTTAAAATAGGAATTAAAAACTGAATACATGTATATATAAAATATTACAATTAAATATAATAATTCGTAGATTTATTACTTTAAAGTGAATGAGCCAGGATAAATTACATTTATATACAAATTAATATAAACATTTAGTCACAAGTTATATATATATATAGATATAAATATCCATTTTGATTTTTTATAAAAAATTTTTTAAAATTTTTAAATTTTTACGTGTGCCATAAGAACTCACAATATTATTATTTAGCAAGAATAATCAATATAGATTTATGTAATTAATTATACAAAATTAATTACGAGTTCTTTTGGGTGGGAAAAATTTATTGTCTGATTAAACCCAAAATCTATCAGCACATTTTAGCGGAAAGATTATTAAGAAAATAATTAGATGTGAATAATTAGAATCTTTGTTATTTTCATTTCATAATTTAAATACAAAGTTCAATATATTATTTATAATATGTGGTAAATTGTTACGCACATACACACTTATATTAAATTTATTTTTAGAAAAAGAAAATTAGTGAAAAAGAATTTTATCTTATTATATATACATACATATATACTGTCTTTATTATTTATATAACTCACCCTCGGTCGAGGAATGGCTTTTAAAGGCTTCTTATTGCCCATTTTCTTCATGGCGTTGTAGTATTTCTTCTGATCTTCCGTCATGAACATTTCGAGAGATCCGCCAGCTTTCTTCTTCTGCTCGTTAAAATTGTCGATGATCACTCCGATAAACAGATTGAGGGTAAAAAACGATCCAAATATAATGAAAAACACGAAGTAGAGGTACATGTAAATGTTCGTTTCGCGAATCGGTTGCTTATCGATCTGTAAACGATTGAGTGACGTGTGTTACAACATGTACATCGATAAAAAGTAAAAATCGTGAGCTTATACTCACCTCTCTAGAGTCGATCGCATCGTTCATAATTTGAATCCATCCTTTGAAAGTCGCCACTTGGAATAGGCACAGATACGCTTTGCCGACGTGGTCGAAATTCATCGGCGAATTTTCCCACGTGTAATTTTCGGTGTTACAAGCGTTACGATCTGGTATTATTTCGTAGCTGAGTGTCGTCTTGTTCGCGTCGACACACTGCAACAAAAGTGAAATTGTACGATGATTTACCTTTTTAATTAATATTTTACAATTTAGAAAGGAAAGTCTTAGAAATAAATCACGTGAATCATTTAGTCTTCAAATGCGTAGGTGGTCTAAAGATATTCAAGTTAGTGGGTGGATTGCTCAGACAGTACAAAAAATTCTAATTTTATAGTTATATATTTTTTACTAGTATATTATATTTTAGTTTTTACATTAATTATGAAATAGAATATCTTTTTGTGAGTATAGTATCTTTTTGTGAAATAGAAGAATGTAAAAATAATGAATTTTAAGACTTCTGGGCAATACTTTATATTTCCTTTTTTCAGACAGTTGTTAAGAAAACTGCTTATGGATAAGTAGGTGTCACTCCACTTATCCACTTAAACATAAAGGATAACTCTCAAAGTGACAATCGATTATCAATTTCTATTCTCATATAAATATAATAAAAATGTATTTACCTTATAATATTTACCAGCAAACAGCTGCACCCCCATGATAGCGAATATAAGCCAGAAAATAAGGCATACCAGCAATACGTTGAAGATGGATGGAATGGCTTGGACCAAGGCATTAACGACTACCTATGAGAGACGAAATTCGATTAGATACGATATCAGACTCGGGTTTGTTTTTGCTAAGAATTTTTGCATCTATGCACTTATTTATATGCGATTGTGTCACGCGCTACTATACGCTTAATGTGCTCGTGTTAAGACTAAAAACGCGAGAAATTTATTTACCTCATAAAAAATTACTGTAATACAATCGTCCTAATTTTAAGAGTAAAGAAAAATAATACATATAAATTTTTTTTAAATTCATGATCAATTAAAATATTAAAATTTCGAATTTTTTAATGAATTTGAGATAAAATATTTTAATAATACTTGAATGAATGTAATTCGATATTACATCATAATCTTCTTATAAAAAAAATATTCGTTCGAAATTTAATTATTATTACAAAATAGAATAATAAAAATTTAATCGTGAATAAATAATTTATTTATACATTGCGCTTCTCTGTGCAGTAACTTAATTCTGTGCATAATACTTTAGCTTTACAGGCGTTTTTAGGTAGGTAGCCCTAATTTCAATCGAAAAATTGATGAACATTATAAGCAAGTGTCTACCAAATAAATTAGAATTTGAGTAATACTTTCCGCGGATCTTGATTTACGTACACACTAAAAGATCTATTTTTATTATAGAAAAATAACATTTATTATTAAATGATTTTCTTATTTTAATAATGCACGGAGCGGTTAATTTAGACGTAATTTCATTAGTGTGTATGTAATTTAAGTGGCAAGTTAACTACAATTAATATAATTGATTAAATATACCTAACGTAACTGTGACTTTGATTGATCATGGATCAGTGGTGATACGCGCATCGTGTAAATTTATATCTACAAGTTTCATACTCGGGTGTACTAAAGAAAGTAGCCACAGGCAAGATCAACATATAAAGCAAGCGCAAGTTACAGCACGAACGTAAAGCTGACGAAAGCAAGCAAGCATTCGATCTTCATATCTACTAAGCAATCCAGTTACAAATACTACGTCTAAGCAATTTATATACAGAATATCCTACAAAAAAATATACACGCGGGCTCTCACTTAGGCATAATTTATTGGGTATTTCCCTAAATTATGTCGAATATTAATTAAGCACCTTTTTAAACATCAAACATTAATAAGCAAGCCAAATTATGCAGCTTATATTATTATTTGATAAAAGACCTTATCTTTTTGATTTCACTCGAGGAATAATTATACGATAATTTATGATGAGAAGTGGACAATCCGTAATCGCTAAATATCTTAGATAACGAATTTCTCTTTGAAATCTAGCCTCTTTTTCAAAAAATTGAGTACTCCTCCTCTCTCAGGACATTCAGTATATAATATTTGAAAAAGAAGAGCAACTTATAGCGTTTTCCACTGAAAAAAACTAGCGCGCAACATTGGTGCACACTGAGTACAATTGAATGCAAATCAATTTACATACTTTTAGTGTTAATAAATAATTTAACTCTTTTAGTTACATTCTCTTTGTTGTCACGATAACCTTATAACGATAAAAGAATTAAATTATTTATTAACACCCCGAAAATACGTAAATTGACTTGCATTCAATTTCACTCATTGTTGCATCAGTGTTGCGATAATTTTCCCAGTGGAAAACGCTATTAGAATTCTATAGATAACTTACGCGATCCGTGTGATTAATGTTTCCCAGAATTTGCTTGCATTTGTTGATAACAAAATTTCTCTTTTCGATTTATATGCACGAATTAAAGTTTCCTGGGAAACATATTATGAATCCTGTAAGTTCGGAAACAATCGCATCCTGCTACCTTCGTGGTCTCGTGCAAAAGCAAAACGTATATAAGAAATAAAATATTGAGCGCTCCGAGGAGCGATTTGCAGCGATCTACTGTAAAATAGAAGAAGTGTCAGGGCGTGGGCATGACAGTAATTACTACAACCCAGTATCTCAGCGACCTTGTGTTGCGAGTATGTGATATAAGTATGAGTATTTGCGAGGAGATCCGTCGCGATTATCATAAAAGGCGAGTCTTCACTACACGTTATGAGAGATGAATAAAGTATCCCTTTGTGTACCCATATCGCACATTCGACTGCAAATATTACTGGTATATAAAATATTACCGACCGCGAAATATTTGTAACGATATGTCGAATATAAATATACTTCAAAATTGAATGTGATATGAATAAAAATTTATATGGCTATTTTTGTGTGTGTATGTCCAATGTATTTCCAGAATGTAACCGTGTAATGCTATCACACGCACTATTATCAGGCTCGAGATACACACGCGATGTTCCATTTCGAGCTTCACGTTTAAATGTATAGTTGTTCTAAATACTTTTACGTATATAGACATCTTTGCGCGAATGTTGCGGGATGGTACGTTTCGTGTACGTTCAAATGACAATGTAAAGATGAAATAAGCGCGTGTTTCTATGTTCTATTTGCGTGTTTTTCGATTAATGTTGTGTCAATCGGTTGTGAACGAATCATCTACGCGCTGCTTCACGCATTCGCATTTCTAAGCTCTGCCGTGCATTCGCGACTGCCTCTATTTTAGCATATTCCCGTGCAACAGGAAGAAAATGTAATATTGTGTCTCAGTCGATTTCAGATCAACGATTTTACAGTTTTTCAAGAGTCGGTATCACCGAATGTCAGATGTTCCATATTTTTAAATTACATATAGCTCTTATGTGTGAAACTATTTTTTTTATTTTACGAAGATAATCTTTTGATATCTTGATAAAGAACGTTATCATATATATATATTTGCATTTGCATTAAATATAAATGATATATGAAAGTATCCAGTCTATTTAATTTATATACGTTCAAAAAATATTAGAAAATGAAATTAAATACGTACATATTTGAAGAGTAAGGTATATGTATACTTAGTGCGCAATGTTTTTACTTGCAATACACATTAAAATAATTGACAACGATGCAGGCTCTTGATAAACGTAATCGGTCGAATTTTATGGGGGAAAAGGAAACGATGGTGATCTTTGAGTTCATATAATCGGAGAGAGAATTATTCTTGGTGCGAGAATTTAATTAGATACAAGTATTGATATTGTTTATATGAGAGACAAAAAATGATGGCAATATAATCTAATAATTTATAAATAATAGACAAAAATCAATTCGTAATAGCGAAAGTTTGATGAGTTAAGATAACGCATTATAAAAAAAATTACTTAGATTTGATTAGTAAACTTTTTTTATATCTATCAAAAACATAAACTTTTCCCTCCGTACTTGGAAATGTGTAGTACATTTTCGTGTTATAGTTCTAAAACTCTTTTGCAAAAAATCATATACAGTTATTTTAAAACTTGTGTATCAATCCTAAATTATAATTCAACGTTAACTCTTTTAAGGTAATTTTGCGATTACTTCTTATTTAAAAGAAATTTATCTCTTCCATAATCCATGTTTAATAACTTTTCTATATAACACAACAGTTTACTTTATACTTGAAATAAATCAAGCTGAAGTAAAATTCATTTACAATGATTAAGCAGATATTCGTATAAAGAACGTTCTTCCTGACGTTGCTCCCCTCGATGATAAATATCGTTGACGGGGAATATAAGATTAGGAAACATTGTTATACTCCCCGGTATTGAAGGGATTGAACATGGGGGATCGACTCTGCCGTTTTCTCCATGGCAGACGTAGAGCAAGCGACAAGGTCTGCTGAGACGGTGGGCTACATACCCGCATCCCCTGCATTCTAGACATCGCCCTGAGCGGCCTAAGGGCCCTTAGGGTCCGCATTGTTTTGAAGGCTTGAATCCCGCCAGCGCCACAGAGCGACGCTACGAAGTTAATGAGCGATACCTGCGAGCGAGAAACGAGAGCGAATCACAGCGAGAGGTAGACAGACGTGTAAGGGATAGACTTGATCAATTCCGACGATTCACGGACATTGGGATAAGGCCGGGACGAAGAAAGAGGGGAAGGGGGAAGTGAAAAGACGAAATCGACGTATCACTGCGTTCCTTCGACTCCACGACGAATTAAGACATTTGGATATCTGTACAAAGACGAAGTTCGAGGGGCTGTCGATCTGTAGAGAGCCTTGATATTTCTCTAGCTATATATATATATATATATATATATGTATATGTAAATACTCATATATACATTACAGAGTATCATTATTCTACAAGTACCGTTACTTTCGTACAAAAACGGAGACATATCGTTTATTTAGCAGACAATTAACACAATGTTGAGAAAACAACTTTCTCTTGCACTTTCTCGTTTCGCGATATTTACGCATATATTTTCACGCGATATCGGTAAATAAATAAATTATCTTAGATTTTTCAAACATCATAAAAATTAATCCTAGGAATAATATTTAAATGATAATTTAGCTAAATAAAACGCGATTGGAAAGCATTGATAATCGGAGTTTATTGATAGAATATTTAAATTACTACGAAATATATTGTGTATCCATAAAAAATATAGAACCTCTAAGAAATAGTTATTGCAAATATCATTATTTGGCGTATATGTAAATTAAGTTAAACGACTTGGTAGATAGGAACAATTTTATAACGATACTTATAGAACAGAAGACACATTACATTAATATAATACGACAATTATATAAACAAGGAAGATAGAGGCAATAGATTCCAGGTACGGCACATATAGCAATTAACAATAATTAGGAGATATACATAACTGTATGTATGTGCATATATATTTTTACATGTGTACGTGGAGAAATACATATGTATTCATATATAGACACACACACACGCAATCAGAAACAGAGATAGATAGAACGACAAACAGCTCGGGATTTATCGTTATAACGAGCAAGTACTATCGGCTGCATCCTGAAACAGACGAAATGGTTTGTCATACTTGCGATCGCGACGCATCACGCGAGTTTTAATTTAATTTATCGTCGAGACGAATACAAAAGCTATAAGTACAAATCTATATTTGACAAATCAAGATTATACCAATTAAAGTGGATAAAAAATTAGATTTACTCGCATTTTAATTATCTTGTTGACAATTAAAAAATATATACTCGCGACGAAGCGTGGCGACGCGCTCCAAGAAAGTTCTCAATAAACATATTACATATTGCACGCATAAAGGACGCACATAACACCACACGCACGCGCATCCACACACACACACACGTACGAGGAAATTTTTACACTACACAAAAAGCATATTTATATTAATATATATAGATATATATATATATATCATGTATAAATATTCGATACTTTGCACAACGATCATTGGTACCAAGAGACTGTTAGAAAAGGCGTACATAGACGACTTTAGCTAGTAATATACGACAATGACCGCAGGTATCAGTGCAGACACCAAGTAGAGACGCCAGTGTATCTCTGCACATCGGTAAGCACACCATAGTACACCATAACACCGTAATACAAGCTATCCTCGCCGTAGCTGTTCTTCCCGCTTAGCCCCTTAAGATTTCCGTTTTTTCATCTCGTTCCCATTTGTCACAACGGATATTTCAAAAGCCGAAGCTTCGTACTGCGTCCAACGGATCGATATCGTACTCTACCTAAATCACTGATTCGACAATCGATCGGAATCAAGCCGAAATAGATCCAGCCTGTTTTAAGAGATCGTTGATTTTCGCTTTAACTCCATAATAGTTAGCTTTAATAAACGGAATTATTTCTTTCCTACGGCTGCTTTCTCATGAAAATGTTTAACAAATTAGAGATTACAAAATTACAAATTTATTACCAAATTTTACCAAATAAACTTATTTGATAAAAATTGACTCACATGAAAAGTTGATATAAGTGTATGCTACAAAAATACAGAAATATCTTGCACGTTAGAAATAATTTTCTATATTGATGTCGTATACGAGTCAATGCTTAAATCTTCGATTCTATAAAACGATTTCGACATGTCTCGACTCGTTTCCGATATTGTCACTACTTTAAGAGGAAGAAAGAGAAAGAGAGATAGAGAAAGAAAGGAACAATCCATGCATAACCGGCAGTCCCTCGTCAATCGGAGGTCCGCGCGGCGGACAAATTAAACGTGCTGTCGTGATAACGTGATCGATCCGTTAGCTCCGTACGATCCATCAAACGTCGTTGCGATAAGCCGAATCAGGCTTTTCTTTGCATTATTGTTCACTTAAGTCCTCGTCGACCGATGACTTACTCTCATGCCCTCCCACCGTGAGACTGCTCGTAAAGGTCTCAAAGCCCTCAGTGTTCTCATGGAACGGAAGGCCGGGATGTCAGCTGCACCGGCCCAGACAGCACCCAAGTTGATGAGCGATAGCTAGTTTCATTAAATATTCATCAGACGAGACATATAATGCATCAGTTCTTACAATAATGCTTAATGGCGATCGATTAAGAGAAATCCACCGGAAACTTCGACGTTCGGCTCCCACATTGCTTCGCACGTCGGCATTAGTTGTTCAAGTTTTAAAAGAGGAGAAAGAAAAAGAAGGGGGATAGGAGATAAAATGTAAGAACGAGAGAGACCTTCTTTTTACGCGGCAAAAGTTCAAGAAAAAATCATCCGTATATCGATTCTAATGATTTTATTTAAAAGTCAATTATATATTTGTCATCAATATATTAATATTTAATTTTTTATCTTTAAAAATATTTAAATTTCCGTTATCGAAGCACGGGCAGATACTTTTTTCTGCAATCTCGTGTTGTGAATGACGACTTGTTTTCAAGATCAGATGACACACTACCGATATCGTTCTATTCTTCGAAGCAACGTAAATGTACAAACGACGCGAAAGCAATACAGCGAATAATTGATCCGCGTATGAAGTCATTCGAGAACGACAAGACTCTCTCGTAAATTGTCAAGTGTGCAATCGAGCTTTTGTATTAAAATTTTAATTTTATGCATTTGAATCTTTATTGAAATTTCGAATAGACGTTGAATCATCATCTTTCAGTAATCACAGGGTTACTCGATTGAACACGTTGTACGAAATCAAATATTTCTGATAATCGGGTTAAAGCATCGGAAAGAGAAAAAAACATGACTTACCATAACGATGATAAAATCGAGCCAACACCAGGCATTCGTGAAATATTTCTTAAAGCCTAGAGCCAGCCACTTGATCAACATCTCGATGAAGAAAATCACAGTGAATATTCGGTCCATGTAATACAATACGTCCTGCAGGACAGGTCGTTGTTGAAGATGAACATCCTCCAAAGCCTGTAAATCGGTTCCGCATATATTGGATTGTTTCTTATTATTAAATATATACTCTGAATTTATAAAAAAGAAATAAAAAAGCAATCTTACCAAGGCCAAGCTACTTAGAAGGATCATGGTAATGACGGCAGTCTCGAAATATTTGTTCTCGATCAGCCGGAAGGTCTTGAATCTCAGATTTGCCCAGCCTTGCCAAAACGGAGCGTCGTCATCGCCGGCCAGAAATGGGAACTTTCTGTAACAATTTTCCGGGCAGCAATCAGCCGGGTAACTCGATTGAATAGGATCCTCATCCGCTTGTATTATCTCGCCGTCGAGTTGTTCTTCCCCTTCTTCACCCTCATCTTCTAAATCTGTGGATAGAAGTTTCAATTATCATTATAATTTGAAATGTACGACGATCAATTCTTCTAATCTGTGATTTGTCGATATTTTCTTTCAAATTTTGGAATAATTTTGCAAAGTTAAATAAACTACCAGACGTTTACCTTCTTCTTGTTCTAAATCTTCTTTGCTCGCGTCTTTCTTCTCTTCGCCGTTTAACGAGTCCATACTACCTTTGTGACTTTCGTCTTTAAACGCGCGGTTTTTGTGACTGCCATACGATTTATTACTGTTAAAAAAAAAATAATCGAATAAGATGTGTTCTTAATGATATTACCGAGATACATGAGAATTTTATGAAAGATCTAACCGACCTGATAGTGTCATCTTCGTTCTGATTAATATAATCGTTGTCCAATCTATAATCGTGGTGGTTTATTGAATTCGCGATAACTTTCGTATTGTTCATGCACAGCTTACCCCTCTTCAGTTTATTCTTCAGATCTCCTTCGGAAAAGGAACCAAATTCGATATATTAATCACTATACAATACCATTTTTTGGAACTTAATTAATCAGGAATATGAGATTTTAAGAAAAAAAGAATTTACGTAATAGGTTTTTAATCCTTCGTCAGCGATGTAAAATTTTCATCCTTCGTCTAATAACCTGAGTTTTTGAACTCAGTGCTTTTCATATTGTGTTCCGAACTGTATAAAAATCTTTAAAAAATATTATATACTCATGAAAGCTTTAACAAAAAGTTTCAGTTATCATAGAAGTTTGATTGTATTTTATTTATATTTTTTATAGATTTAAATTTATTTCGAAAGAGAATTTACAATTAAAAAATTTACTGTGTCTTTAAAGTTCAACATTATCAAAGGATTAATTTTAACCGTTACACTTTTTATCTTTCCATTAATTATGGAAAAAATTTACAATCTCCTGCAATAATTTTTCGAAAATTTTAAACTTCCTATTATTGTTTCATATAATTTATAATATGCAGACATATTATACAATATCTCTGTCAGCTAAAATCGGTAACTATACATTAGGAGGATTATTATTATCATATTGATGATAAATTGTACTTTGATTGTTTCCACGCTTACCATGAATAGTAAATTCCATCCCATCACCAATAGCAACTTCAAGCTGATTAAGCTCTTTGGCGCTCTTCTTGTCTCTGTATGCGTCCAAGTCTCCATCTGCAAGATCTAGGTCCCCATCGCGATCAATCCCATCTGCACAGTCATATAAAATCTCTAACCCGCCCTTATTAGGAAATTCGTATCGGAAAACAAATCGAAACGCGCTGAAAATTGTACGATATGCTGTACACATAAAAATCCAATCGCCATATATACAGGCTCATAAACACGGGCGTGATTGTTTTCCATCGCGATTTCCAACACGTCGAATTGAGGAATCAGATCAAATCAGTAACACGATCGTATTTTCATGCAATCGTATATGGTGTCATTTATGTCCAGTGATATTAGTGTTCTAATCCCCCCAGTTTGAAACGGTGTGTCAATGGTTTACAATGCAGAGACTTTGCGCATGACACTTGCTGCATTGACATATTTGCTTTTAATTTTATTACTAGTGATTTTGAGATGCGTAAATTCATCAGAATAAAAATTCAAATTGCTCTTCAAATTATCATCTGAACATAACGTGTTTTTAAGATATATGAAAGATATTTAAAAATTGCTTGTATGCCTAATTAAATATTATTTTAAAGAGCTTTGTTTTAAAATATTATACGTATACGTATTTGAAGAATTACATTGTTTATATTTGCTTCCATTTTTATATTAAATCAAACGAAAAATTAATTTGCCGAGAATTTGATTGGAAAAAATTGTAGCAGTTTATTACGAACAGAAATGCAGCGCGCATCATGTGACTTTTTTTATGTACGTGTCTGCTTCTGCTTAATGATAAATTCGTATCTTGGACGAACTTTATCATCATCGAAGTTACGTAGCGTTCCCAAAGTAAAATGCATAGCAACGTATAACTGCCAGGCAGCTAATCAGCGAAACAAAACTTAATTTGCATTAATCTCATCGTGCATTAAATACATTGAACAGTTCGATTTTGTCTTATTTTCGAAAATTACTCAATCAAAAATATGATTAAATTTAAATCGGACTAATTGTAATCAATTGTATGGAAAGAGTGTTCATTATTCGTATTAAATCGTAAATAAAATTACATTACAATGCAATAACAATCATATTACAACGATTTTAATGGAGCATAATAGCAAATCAAGTAAAATTTAAGGAATCTGCATAATAAATCAAATGTACCAGTCGACGTATGTATGCTTTATAATCGATAGCAAATATTATTACAAAAATAATAAATTGATGATAATATTTAAAATGATATACAATAAAGAAATGTTGAATGTCACTTAAAAATAATTTTGAACAGCAAAATACGATCGAATCTCTCGTCCGCTCTGTTCGTCGTTGTAATTCATAGCTCGTCATTATGTGTGATATATTTAATTTATTACATCGGTCGCCGACTGGCACCAGCAAAACGTGTGAAAGAAGTGTAAAGCAAAAACTGAAAGACAGTGCCACGAACTACACAGCGCACACAGCAAGCGATCTGATTGGATATAAACCTTCTTTCCAACTGTTGGACGGTCCCTCACCTGGCGCCTGATCGGATATCTGATTGGTGAGTTTGGCTCGCATCAACTTAGCAAAAGCAAGGATATTTCGCTTGATCCACTTAATGAAACGCGCTATTCGATCTATCGCCTCCGCGATCTTGTTCGTGTCGTTGTCCGCAGTCGGGGCTGACAGGTTCGACGAGCCGAAGTTGCTGAGCAACAGAGCTAAGAAGAGATTCAAGACCTATTTCGTAGAAACATAACATAATTAATTGTTGGCGAATAAAATCATTTAATATGCGCAAAAGAACCTTGCACTAATTACATAGAAAATTGATGAGATGAATTAGTTTTCACATATAATGTACTTTATAAGTAAACAAAAGATTGTTGTAGAAATAAGGCTCAGTAATAGATAGTTTTTGTGTGTATCAAAGGTACTTTGTAAGAACAAGTTTTACCTTTGATAAACCATAACTCGAAACCATTTATTCTTAATATCTTTTTTTCATTATATTATAAACTTAAAAATTATATGTGAAAACTACACATTTCACCAAGACCGCTAGTTTTCCATACAATTAATGCAGGTTCTAAAGTAAATCCCAGTGAAAAAATAAGGAGTGTTATATATCAATTTGTAAACTTATACTATTGAAAAGATTTCGCTTTTATATACTTACGACCAAGTTACCGATGACGACGGTAGCTAAGAAGAACGGTATACAGGAGACGTCGCCGACCAACATGCAATCCCACATAGATTCGATCCATTCTCCGCACAACACTCGGAAAACGATCATAAACGAATGCATGAAGTCAGTGAAATTCCATCTGGGTAGATCGCCGTCCGGGAAGTAATCGACGTGATCGACGTAATTCTTGCCGAAGAGCTGCATACCCATCACGGCGAAGATGAAGATGATGATGCACAACACGAACGTTAGATTACCCAATGCGCCCACCGTTCTGCCCATGATGGAAATCAGCAGATTCAATGTAGGCCACGATTTAGCTAGCTTGAACACTCTTAACTGAAAGAAATTAAATTTTCAATAACTCGTGCGATTAAATTGCTTATCAATTAGCAGAATAATAATACAATAAAAGAGTAACACTTACCAATCTGAAAGATCGCAATACCGACAAACCTTGCACGCCTTCGAGGCCCAACTCCACAAGCGAAAGAGCGACGATAATAAAATCGAAAATATTCCAGCCCTCTTGAAAATAATATTTTGGGCTCATCGCTATTAGCTTCAGAGTCGCTTCGATGCCGAATGTCGCCGTGAAGAACTAGTGTTTGAATTGAATCATCGACATAATTTTGTTAAATTCGTATTAAACGTATATATCATTTTTCTTACTTCAAAGTCACACAACTGATACTTACGTAATTGCCAGATTTGAGCACTTTTTCCATATCTTTGTCCATGTCGTGATGATCCAATGCCATAAACAGCGTATTAACAACGATGCAGAGCGTGATAAAGAGCTCTACGAATGGATCAAAGACCAACAGGGACACGTACTTTTGAAACTCGAGCCAAAGCCAACAGCAATCCCAGACGCAAAAGATGTCGATACAACGAAACATTCCAGCCACTAACTTGTCCTTGAATTTAGGTTCTTCCTCGTCGTCTGTCGGAAAGTAATAGGTCGCAACTGTAACGCGCGTTAATAATATTGACTGGCACCACTCTTTTTGGGGAAAGAGGTTTTTCTGGTCAGGCTCATTCTTCGAGATCACAGATTATATTTACAGGCAGGCAGGCAGGCAGGTGGGCAAGCAGAAGGCATGGCAAAATAAAAAATGGCACACCATATAACGAATAGCGTAAATCTGGATAAGCGTATTTTATGTAATATTTGCAAAATATTTGAAAGAACAAAATATCTTATATAATAATAATGATAATTGTTCATATTTTTGGAAGTGCTCACATCATTGCATTAATATCATTATGCAGTTCCGTTAATTGGAAAAAATCTTTCTATATATAAATATTTTATTTATTAACAATGATATTGTATATATTAACAATGCGATTAATATTTTATTTATTAAAAATTAATACTATACAATTTGATACAATAAATAATGTATTGTTAATTCGTATGAAATACGATATGCAAATTTACGCAAAGCGTCAATATAAAACTGAAAGATGATAAAATTTAAACATAAATATCGTGCATTAGTGACGCGAATAAGGTGTAATGTACACATAATTACACATAATTAAAGCATGCGCATAAACTTAACATGCAATTATTATATACACACAAAAAGATAGTTTTATCATTTAATTTTAATACTTTCGCCACATAATAGATTATTAAGTTATTTTGTTATGTTTTCTTTTTCTTAAAATTTAGAATAAAAAATTATATACAAGCACGATTACATTAAACAGAAAATACAAATTTTGCTAATAATTTAAAATATGAGCTTCTGCGACGAAAGGATTAAATATTGTAATATAAGCAATTAATGGCAACCAAAAATCAACATAATCACGTAAAATTCTTCTCAACTCAAACATTTTTCAATGAAATACAGTACACAAACAATATTACGCATGGTTGTACATTTTTCAAACAAAGTAATGATTTTGTGTGTGTGCGGTCTTCAGGAAAATATTCTCTGTTTCTGCGCAGATTTATACGTTAACGAAATTTGCAAACACGATGTAGTGAAAAGTGATTTACAGCTTGACGTGTGCAAAAATTCAAAACTCTAAATTGTAAGTGACCAAACATTTTTTGCAAAGCTAATAACGCGCTGATAAAAATACGCGTTTATGTTTTTGAATATGCTTATCTTGCATATTCATATTGTGCATCCGAGACAAACACGATAGTGCCCTTCAACGCGGTAGTGATGCAGGTGCAAAAATATTGTAAGTTTAAATCGCTGCAGTTTCCGGAAATCAAAAAAATAAATAAGATTTCTCAATCATCAAGAGAATAGAAGAAATGTCTAGACTCTAGAATATTATTCAAAATAAATTTTACTACAATTTCTTTCAACTTACGAGTATAGAAAGAAAGAGGGGTAAAGGAAAGAAGGAAATAAACTAAATAAATATAAAATTAATACCATTGTATATCTATACAAATATACTTATATTTTTTTAAATCAAATATTAATTTAAATATTAAAATATAGAATAAAGGTATTTTTATGATGTTATATATTTTTGGGGGGTTTATATCACATATTATCGAGCATTATTTACGATTTATCGACGATTGAGATAATCTGAAAAAAAAAAATCGAAGCAAATGAAGCGACCGGGATTGTGCAACTGCGCGAAGGTGGTAATCTGTGTCACATCACAGGAAACGAGCAAACTCTATTTCCCCAAAAAATGCTTTCACAAACCGCCCTCAAGGGCCCACGGGCCGCATCGTGTCTTTTTTTTTCTCGCCGCATCACGCTGCTTAGAGAGACAATATATTCTGCCTTTCGCATTATTTGCCACTTAAATGCTTCTCCGTTTAACAATAGCTGAGACGCTGTATGTCGATCCAAAGTATGTAGCGAACCGCATCGATTTACACGCCATGCTCAATCGTAAACAAAAGTATGTAGTATGTATAAAACACGAGCGTGTGATCTTTAGCTACGTCGGCTGGGATGAAAATTAAAAATGAATTTGTTCGTTCTACTACGTATTTACAAGGCGCGGCGGTCTATAAATGTCCAGCAAAATAGTATAGGTACCAACGCAAGGGAGTAGTATGACGAAAAATTTTAAAACCACACATCGAAAACGGCAGGATGCTCACACGATAAACAAAAGATAGATATATATATATACATTTGCGATAAGTGTGAACAAAGAAAACGGAAGAAAGAAACTTGACGAAAAGTACGGGAAGGAACGCGGCATTACCTGTAGATGCTGGTGGTGGTGGTTGTGATAGTGATGGAGGTAGTGGCGGCGGTGGTGGTGGTTGTGGTGCAGATGGTGATGGGTCTTGCATTTGACTCTTGAGAAAGGCAGCTTGCTCGATTATGTCGTTCAGCATCATTACATCTGCACAAAAATGATCGAAGTTTGATTACTTGAGAAAGCCCGGAGCTATTCGCTAATTAGTTCGCAGTCTTACCTTTCATATTGACCAGGTGCTGTTGCGCCATCGGTAGCTCGACAAACGGATTGTCTTGTTTGTACTTGGTCATGGCATCTTCCACATCAGGAGTTTCCTGAAAATTCCAAACAGTTGCAAATATTAAAAGAGAGATCACTGTGTTATATACATATTATATGCTACCGTTCGAATCTGACACGAAACATCATTCGTATATTGATATCTGTGATTTTATAAAATAAATATTATTAGTTCGTATCAAAGATTGAAATTGATGCAAACAGATTTTTGTAATTATATACAGTCACGTACAAACATGCTTTCCACGAAGAGCAAAGATTTAACGTTTTTTTTCCCGCAGTTTAACAAACTCTAAAATATTTTATCTCCAGAGAGAGAGAGCTAGATTCCCACATCTATTAAGTTGTCAAAAAGGTTTTAAATTCTTTCGATTTATATTATTTATATTAATATAATATATAATTTTAATAAAGCGCTTTTTATTTTGAGGAATAATTGTCGTCATTGTTCCTAAATAAATTTATACAAACTTGCTTGTAAAAACAGATGTTTCAGAACTTTTTGGACAGAGCCAAGCATTTCCCATCAAAATCTCGCCCTAACTCTATTTTACGCGGTTATCAAATGTGTGGGGGTTTCTTAAAAATTACTTACGCTGATGTAAAGATGACAATTTCTCTGATTGGGATCCGCAACATGGCCATTGGCCGATGTCGCCTGTTTGTTGTTTCTATTCCTGAGGATCTGTTCTTGCTTGGTGAGCTGCTTGCCGATGTTGTCGATGCCGCGGATACCAGCGAAGGCCAGGTCACCGTGAGATGTGTAGGAGAGCCGCGAGGCGTGCGAGGTGTAGGACGAGTGACGCGAGCCGAGATTCGCATAGTAGACCGGCACCACGATCGTGCCGTTCTCCTCGGACATCGGTGTAACCGCGTTCGAGTCGTCGGCATAGGGCAGGTGTTCCTGGGCGTCCAAGTACGTCGACAACACGAGAGGCTTCCGGTCGCCTCCCGGTGGTACGAAGCATCGGCCACGGCCGTTGCGTATCGTGAACTGGTGGCTGCCACGGCTGCTGCGACGCAGATTGAACGGTGAGCCGGGTAGGCTCAGGCTCGCCTGAAATTACAACAAAGCGGACCACCGCTTTTCTCTCTCTCTCTCCGTTCTCGGCCCTCTTTTCTGGCAATCGAGGTACCGAGGCGAGGGCCAGCCGGAAAGGCGTTCTCTGTCCCTCTCAGTGACGAACTGATTCCCTCAGGACGATCGTGACATTTCTCACGGAATCGATTGCAGCCTATCGCTACGTTTAACGGATCGTTTGAAGAGTCACGAGCTGTGATGCGTGAAAATTTTAGCTGGCGTTGTTTGAAATAGATTTTCGACTATGGCTGAATATAGAAGCGATGCGGGAGATATTTTTAAAAAGATTCCAAAATTTATTTATTTGAATTAAGGCGAGCATACAGTATGTAACTCTTCAACGCAATCGTCCCAGTTTTCCTATACTCTCACTAATCAATCACGAAATACGATGATTGACAACAACGATAATGTAGGCTACCTATGGTCGTCTTCCGAATAAACCGTAATTAATTTCTTTAATGATACCCGCAATGTTGATCGTTTCTCGTAACTAATTAAAAGAGAAAAGATTGATAGCGCGCTCAACGAGACTCATCTCGGTGAAACGTCTCACGATGATCGTTATTACGTGAAAGACGCGAAATGATCGATCATCGGCGATGATCCGTGTGCTTGTCTCGACATGGGAACAGAAATTCGTGAGGATGAACGGGCGCGATTTATACAAGACATTGCCTGAGAACTGCGAGTCGTAACGCGCAGAGCATAAATGGCGCTTCGGATATGACTAGGTATGAGATCGTGATCGGGTCCTATGGTGCTATTTAGTGTACGTACGGTCGGTGCTGACAGACACACGTCGTGACACACGTACCTTCCGCAGACTTTCCTGGTAGGCATAAGTAAACTGGCCATTAGCGGCGCGAGAGACCTTAAGAAAAAAACAAGAAAAGATATCTCCTACCAAACGGCTCGTAACGTGATCTAATGTGTACACCAACGAGGCACTCGAAATAAGTATGAAGTATCACATAACACTTGCAGAAGCATACATATAACGTAATTGTGGATGGAGAGGTGAATAAAGAGAGAAGAAAGAAAAAAATGGCTATAAAGAATATTTTTATCGTGTGATGTGTGTAGGAAGAGAAATTATAAATCTAATAAAAAGAGATCTAAATTTGTAGAAAGAGACACGAAGATCGGCGATTACATCTGTGATCGAATTGCATCAATTAGACAGATACACATTTACGTAATTGAAAAAAAATGTTATTGTCCAATTTTTCATATTACCTCTTCGAGACTTGCTTGTCTGTTAGATAAAAAAAAACACACTGGAAAAAGAATCTAATTGTATTAATTGGAATTTTGATTGAAAATGGACAAATCAAATTTTCTGGTTGAATTTATTGTAATTATAATTGAGATGACCAGAAATCTTATCCATATGATTAGAATTTTTTGGTTTGTCCATTTTTAACAAGAAATTTATCTTAGTGCAAGTAGAACAATGAATAATCTTTTGATATTTCTGTGTCAGGTAGATAACGATTTTGCGACGATATTAAGCAATTAGCCGATGTATTTCGTATCTCCGCTAACTATTAATCTTATACTAAGCATATACTTCTCTGCATGCATGGTTCTGTAAAACAAGATTAGACTATATGATCAGTATGCGCCGTGTCGTTTTACGGCCGAAATTCACTGTCCCGCGCGTTACTACGCGCAATTTCAGTTTCCAGGCAGCAATATTCGACACGTTGAAACTATACTATTTACGATGTAACTAGGGCGAATGATTGACGAGAGGGTGACAGGTTCTATGCGTAAAGCCACCTATCCAAAAGGATCATGACATAGTACGAGCAGTCGAGATACGCAGCGAGTCCCAAAAAAGATTCATACAAATAACAAAATTTTGATACAGGTTTAGAACTGACAGTTCTTCCGTAAAAATTTGATCGATATATGATAATAGAAATAATTCAATCATTAACTTTTAAGTAGGTAGGTGGTTTAAAGATACGCAAGTTGGTTGGTCAATTGCTCAAAATACTCAGACTACACTAAGTTAGTACAGTAAAAGCTGCTTTATGCTTTATAATAATTATTTGAATACAATGTCAATATAATTGATTAACTTTGACAATACAAAAATAATACATATATATTCTGTTAAATAACGTGATATTATTAATGAATATTTAATTATCCAAATGCTTTTACTTTGCTAATTTCATATATATAGTAGCTTTTAGTATGCACTAATCTAGTATTAATGCAAATGATTGAATTTGTTATATGATATAAAAGAATATAAAAAAATATTCAGAATTTTAAAACTTCTGAGAATTTCTGAGAAATATTTTTGTTTTCCTTTTTCAGATCAAAGTTTTAAGAAAACTATTTCCAGAATACTGTGGCCACCTACTTTCTTAAAGTTAAAAATTTGAAGATTAATTACTCGATATAAAAATTTGAAGCATGATACAGGTCTCCTCTTTCTCTCTCTCTCTCTCTCTCTCTCTCTCTCTCT